TTATAATTTAGCAACTATCTTTACAAACATTCACTAACTCGTCGCTAATTATGGATAATTTACGATGATATTCTAAAACGGTCACAAATATGACCAAAATTGGCATCGATTTCTAAAAACGAGTTGCTAAAAAAATTACAAGAAGCATTTTTCGAACGAGTTTAAGACCATCAAAAAATCGTCGCTAATTAAGATTAGCGATCGTTTTTCAAGAATTAGCGACAATAAAAACCATCGCTAATTCTTGTTATTTTAGTAGTTAGAATTGAAGGAAAGATTATAAATTATAGAAATGATTTAACTTGTTTGGGATTGATTGATAGATTTAGTTGATAAATCCAACTTTTCATCTTAATTTATGGACATAGATTAATTTAATTTTTAAAAATATATTTTTTTATTCTTGTGAAAATGATCTAATCGGTTATATTGTATCTTAATTAATCAAATGTTTCGTTATAGTAAGTCTGTACATTAAAGGTCCTAAAACAAAGAAAAATCTTAGATGGACCAAGAATATTTGTGTCAATAGTAAAAGGAAAAAAAAATTGGATTTCCACAAATTTTGAAGGTAAGATAAGGAAGTTAAAGATAATGCAAATGTTTTTATCAAAAACATGTACAAGTTATATCTTCACAATATTGCTGCAAGAACCAATTTGCAATATTCAATTTATATATTCTCATTGTCTAATGCATAGATATATATAGCTAGCCATATATATATATATATATATATATATATATATATATATATATTCTTTTTGAACCAAATTCCTTTTTTCTTTTCAACAGACATTCAGTTGATGACAAATCTAGTTTGAAATGTCAATTAAGACATATTGTTGTTAAAAGTAATTTTGAAGTCTAGAATAATATAAAAGTAAGTTTCTTGAAGGTTTTAATTATTCTATGTACATGAATGTAATGTATTAATGATGAAAACCTCTAGAAAACTAATATAAATATGTCTAGTAAGAGTTGTAATTCAAGTCAAGATATTATGATAAATACTAGTGCAAGATTCCACCATGCTTCCCTCTATCCTCCTCCTCCTATATTTTCTAACATGATACCAGAGTCAGATTCAGTCTAATGGAGTATTCATAGGGCATTCAAAAAAGTATAACAAGGCGTGTATTATTTTGTTAATATAGCAATTAAATTGATTGAAATTTTAAATTGAAGAGATTAAGTTTTTCTTATATATATTTATGTGCAAAAATTACCAAAACAAAAATTTATGAGAGAAAAAGTATAACAATCTAAGGATAAGTAAAAATAACGATTATAGGTATTTTAGATCAGCTTTTGCAATAATCAAAACTAAGTTTTTTTTTTTTTTTTTTTAAAAAAAAAATTTAAGATCTCAAAGATACACTTCTTATTTTAACTTAATAGATTCACCAATATTAAATTCTCTTAGATATTAATTTTAGATTTGAATTTAGAAGCAAACTGTCTGTTTTTTTATGAGAAGAATCCTCAAATCATTTAGTTCATATATTTTAATTCCATCAATAATTTAGTTATTGTATAAATCTTTTGTTATATTAGTGATAAAACGTCCTATTACAGTAGTTAATGTTCCTAAATTGCCATTTTTTTTATGTTTTATTTCCCTCTTTTATCAATTTTCTTTCTCTCTCTTCAACCATTTTGGTGGTTGAGAAAAGAGAAATTGATTGAAAAATTGAGAGAGAGGTCAAAATGATAGTTGAGAAAAAAAAAGTGGATGAATGAGAAAATAAGACATCAAAAGAAGAGGTAATTTGAAATTAAAAAAAAAAAAATACTGTAGTAGGATACTTTATTACTAATGAAACGGAAAACTAATGAAATGATTAAATTATTGATAAAATTAAAATATAAAAATTAAACAATTAGTTTTTGAAACAACAAAAGACTAATTAATTTATTTTCTAAATGAGAGGGACTAATATATAGTTTACTCATTCTATTTGCTTTACTACGTTTTTCTGATTCATCCAAACAGAAACAAAAGGAGTTATAATAGTTATTTTTTTAACCATTCACCTGCAGCAGCATCAACACAGAATTCTGAACATCAACAACAAGCAACAACAACCGTAAAAGTGCCTGCCTCTCTCTCTCTCTCTCTCAAGAACAGAAGGAATTTTCTCTATAAGGTAAATTTTGAAACTCGAATCCCTCTCTCTCTTGATTGAAACTCTTTGCTTCTTCATTTGTGTATTTGAACACTGTTCGGTTCCGAGATAATGTTTGATAACGGATTTGGGGGTTTTTTTTTATCGCATGCGTTTTCTCAGCAACCGAACGGAAAATTATGCTATTTTTCTTGGTTTCAACGAGGGAATTGGTAATGAAAGTGAAGTGTTTGGTTTCATTTCATTTTAAAGATTTTTTTTATGAATTCGATTTTTGTGTTTAGGCGAGTTTAGTGATGTCATATTTTGGGATATGAGTTAATTTAGAGTTCAATTTGGGCGAGTTGGTTAGTTGGATTGATGGGGGTACATGAGTTGATTGAGTTGATTATTGGTTGAGTGATTAGGTGGCTGATTCAGTTTTATAATTTCTTTTTGATAATGAGCTGTTATGACTAATTGGCCAGTAATGGGGTGGCAGCTGAAAGTTGTGGAGATATATAGTGATGGGGTGAATTGAGGTTCTAAGGTTTGGAGGGTTTATGGTGGAAGAGTTGATACGAGTTGGAGGTGGCAGCAGCATGGCCAGCAAGTTGAGACTGAGGTGATGTTCTTTTGGTTGTGGAGAAGCGCTCTGAGAAAAAAGCTATTCATTATTAGCTCTACATTATTGAGTTCTATTCCAGTAGCTTGTTAGGTGGTGGGTAACCTTGTGTCATCAAGTTGGATGCAGTAGGGGTGGTGTTTTACAGGTTTGTTTAATGTCATTTAGCTAATTTGAAGGGAAATCATGTAAATTAATGTCTGGAATTTAGATTCTGTTTTGATTGAAAGCCACTATGTTATATTTCTGTGTGCTCCACAATGAACATTTTATGTTTTATTTGAGTTTTTGAGGACAATCGTTGATCAGCTTCTCTTTCATCAGGATATTGTCTTGTACTTTAAATTCTTGGGAAAATCTTTGACTAGCTACTCTCTCAGCACCATACTTTATGTAGTATGTTAGTTTTAGCATGCGTTATGTGAGATTTGCATTTTATGATAGCATTTAGAAAATTGCTCAATTATGCAATGCATGCATTGCTTATGCAAGCGAATGAAAATTATGTGCGCCAATCTTTGTTTTCACAATGTGAATTTGTGTGGAAAATGTATGGCAAAATGTCTCTGTTACTGGTTACTTTCTTTCATTTTTTTTTCTTTTGTTCCATGGTCGAGTTAGATAATGAAGGGTAATCCTTTCCTTTCTTTAATTTCTTGCACCCTGAAGAGTTAGAACTGCTTTTTTTGCAATTCGAGCCCTGGATCTTCCACACTGGTTGGGAGAGAAGTACCGCTTGTACTGAAGGTCCAATGGTCTCCTATATATTAGTACATTACTGAGAGCGAAGTTAAGAACTTCAAAAAAGTTTGGTATAGCCACATTTTGCTGATGCAAACAAATAGACAAAACTACGTATTTAATAATTTGCACTGAGAGGATTGTTGTGATAATTATACTTGATAGCAACACTATTGGCTATGAGACCTATTCTAGCGTGATCTTGTCTTGTATATTCAAAATCTTTCTTTCCTTAGCAAAAATAATTTTAAGAAACTCTTGAATATTTGCCCTTAATTTTTCCATCTTGTAATGTTTCACATCATCAACCCTGTATTGTTCGTTTGAGTTCTATGGTTGTTTAAAGCTGTCAATGACACACACACACACACACACACACACACACACACGTGCACACAAACTTAATCTTTCAGCCTTCATTGACTAACTGGCTGGAAGGTCTTAGGAGCTTTGTTGGGTTTGCATCTTACTTGACTAGCATCTTATCTTCATGCTCTGGTCTCACATTGACATTTTTTTTTTTAAAAAAAAAACTGTGCTTCCAGATTTAAGTTTGAGGACTGTGTGCATAACAGCCATGACTTCTTCCGGGCACGATATTTCTGGTAAATTTCTTTAAATGCTTTTGCAAATTTGTCACCTTGCAGTTACTACTTTAGCTATACAGTGTTTTCTCTGTAAAAAAAATGGAATGTAAAATTTATTCATCTTTCTTTCAATTGCTCAATTTAGATGTTTAATCTTATTACGATTTGACTTGACATGGGGTTATTAGGATTCATGTTTATGTCGTTTGTTCAACTTGCATGAGCAATATTTTCCTCAGTGGGCAGAATTTTTGTGAGATTTCCACACAAGAAATTTATGACTCAGTTTTCATGACAAAAGAAAAATAGAAGACCTAGGTTAATGATTTGAAAGTGAAGCTTCACTGCTTGCATGAAAATAAAATTATGCATAAGCCATCCATGAGTTGAGCTGAGCTCTGCATAGATAGCATTACATTACAGAGAAACCTATCACCAAATTGGCGATGCTTTACGAACTTTTCATTTTTTTTTTTTTTAAGGCAGGAAAGAAACAAATGCTTGAGTAAATTATAAATTAGTCCCTTTATTTTTTCAAAATGAATTAAATAATCTCTCTTATTTCAAAAACTAATTAATTAGTTCCCAAACTAGTGTTGATCATGGTTAATTTAATGTTACTACTTTGTTCCAAAAAATGTCTTCCTTTCTCATCAATTTTCCATAGTTTTTACTTATTAAAAAAAAAAACAAAATAAATTGAAAAAAAATGAAAAGGATTAAGTTACAATTAGATTTAAAAATATATGGACTAATTAATTATTTATTAAAACTAGAGGGAGTATTTAATTCCTTTTGAAAAAATAAAGGGACAGGTTATAATTTACTTCAAATGTTACACGTAAGTGAGGTGTATTTTGTTGTTTAGCGAGAAAAAGGAATAAGAGTGGAATGAGTAAAGTCAGGAGTGGAATTATCAATTTCCTTTCATAGAATAACATGCTCATCACTCCACTCTCAAAGAGTCGAGACACGATCCTGTCTCTCTCTCTCATTCAGGTGATATTTGCTTTCTTTCCTAAACCTGAAAACTAAAAAAAGAAAAAGAAAAATAAAAATCAAGAGATCTTTCTAAATTTCAGGCTTTGCACCGATATAACCGTATTAAAATGGATATCACTGTTTAGCTCCTGCTGCGCTCATTTCTTCTGAATCCACTCTGAACTGTTTCATTTATGGCATTTAATTTCTGATTCTACTGTTTCTTACTATTTTAATTTCTTGCTTGAATTTGTTTTTGTTCGAGTCTTTTAATCTTTATTGCTGCTTTGCTATTAATTTTGTTTTGAGATGTTTTTATTCTCATTTACGTTCGTTTTCTTCTTATTTTTGTAATTGAAGCAGTCTCTGCTTTTTTAGATATTTCTTAACTTAACTAATTAGGAATTGTTGAAACACCCAGGATCAAATCCTCAGGGCATAGCTGTGCCACCAGTTGAAGGTGTTGCTGGAGGAGGAACAGCATATGGATGGAATGATGGTGGTGGTGTACATTTTTTAAACTCCTCACTTAAAGGATCGATTGATCCCTCTGAGGTTCCAACTTCAGATTTAGTGCATGTTTGGTGTATGCCTAGCACTGCAAACGTCGGACCGCAAGAGATGCCTAGACATCTAGAGCCTGTAAGTTTTATTTAATTCTCCTATGCCTACATATGTGAATCTGCTCTTTTTTTAATTTGTATTAGTATGTGCGTCTGGTGCTCATCTCTTCGTGAAGATATACTTTTTAGATGTGGAATTGATGTAGCCTCGCCACTGGATTATTTCCTTGTAGATTTGGCTGATTGCTCTCTTAGTAGCAAACTAGAGATGTTTATGCGTAGATAATGAAAGTTATTAGTTGTCTTAGTGTGGCTAATAGTTATATGCTTTGCGATGGCTACCTAATATTTTGAATGTCCTTGTGTTGTAGGACTTTTGAATAAATGCTGTTAGGTTTAGATTTTGGTTTATACTGAATTTTTATTAATGGAATTGTCTGCCACTGTGATGTTATGTGGTATGTTTGTTCTTTTATATCAAAAGTAAGTGCTGTGTTTTTGGTGCTATAGTACTCTCTCTCTTCTAATATTAATTTTACCTTGAAGATAAATCTTCTGGCAGCTAGAAATGAGAGAGAAAGTATTCAAATTGCTATACGTCCAAAAGCTACTTGGGGTGGTCCTGGGAATGTAGGGACTGTGCAGGTTCAGTGTACCGACTTAACCTCCACATCTGGCGATCGGTGAGCCACTTGAGCTTTATAGTTCTCTCTGTAGCTTGATGATTTATGACTATATTAGTTTATTTTTCTGATATTGACTCTGGGCAGGTTGGTTGTTGGACAATCCATAACATTGCGGAGAGTGGTTCCTGTATTAGGTGTCCCAGATGCTCTTGTGCCTCTAGATCTTCCTGCTAGTCAAATAAGCTTAGCTCCTGGGTATTGACTTAATCATTGATTGCATGTTATTAATTTAGTGCAGCATGAAGAAATTCCAAGTGATTATGTGACATTGAGGTGGTTTTGTTGTTTTCGCTTTGCTGCAGAGAAACAACTGCACTTTGGGTTTCCGTAGATGTTCCAAGTGCACAGCCACCGGGTCAATACGAAGGGGAGTTCTTCATCACTGCTGTAAAAGCAGAGGCAGAGTAATACTCATCTCTTTTTAATTTAATCAATGATAGTTATATGCTCACAAAAGAGCTTATAGCCCTGTGGTAGTGGTCTCTTGCAAGAGGTCACGGGTTCAAATTCTAGCATAATAGTTCTGCTAGGAGAGTGTGAGTTACATATAAAAAAAAAGATAGTTATATACTCCATGCTTATTGAATAAACTTACTACGCTGTAAGTATTGTTGTCAAATTTTAAATAAGCTCAGTACTTTCTCATGTATGACCCCTGTTATTTAATACTAGTAAATATGGACATAAAGTTACTTATTATAGTTGATTAATTCTACCACAGATCTCCATCACAACGCTTGGGAAAAGCTGACAGGTATCAACTGTACATGGAACTTAGAAACTGTCTTGACATCATGGAGCCTGTAGGAGGAAAACCATTGGATGAAGTGGTAATATTTGAATCAATCATCATCATAAATTGCCCGGTCATGTGATTACAAGCAATTTATATAAGAATTTTTTTTTTAGGTAGAAAGAGCCAAATCTGTGACTACATCTTTAAGAAGAGTTCTTCTATCTCCAGTATTTTCTGAGTTCTTTTCAGATAATGGACCAGTTGATATGATGGACGAAGATGCTATTTCAAACCTATCAGTTCGTGTCAAGCTAAACTTGACTGTTTGGGACTTCATACTTCCAGCAACTCCTTCACTTCCTGCTGTATTTGGTGTATCCTTACCTTTTTAAAGCTTAATATTACAAAATTTAAAATTGGTGATATTCTCTGGATTTATTGTTGTGAGGTTGGCCTTCACAAATTCCAACATCTACATAAGTCAAAATTGGTATTGTCTGAATGTGTTAACTCAGTTTACTCTTGATGTAAGCTGTAAATTATCTGAAATAATGTAATTCCTAAGAGTCTTTCTAGGAGAAGTGCAACATGGTGGAGCTTGAATCAAACTGGGGCTCAGGTCAGCCTTGTACAAGACTTAATTCTAGCAATTATCTGAAATAATATAATTCCTAAAATTCTTTCTAGGAGAAGTGCAACATGGTGGAGCTTGAATCAAACTGGGGCTCAGGTCAGCCTTGTAGAAGACCTAATTCTAGCAATTATCTGAAATAATGTAATTCCTAAAAGTCTTTCTAGGAGAAGTGCAACATGCTGGAGCTTGCATCAAACTGGGGCTCAGGTCAGCCTTGTACAAGACTTAATTCTAGCCAAACCTAAGGCTGAGTTCAACCATACTGAACAAAACTAAAGTCAAATCCCAAGCTCATTGGTAGGTGACCGAGTGATCATAAACAAGGACAATTACCTTTAATATATATAAGAAATGATAATGATTGTGTTATTTTATTTTATCACTATAGAATGGGATAAAGCATTTTGCAAATGGTTCTGTTGATTAAGTACTTAGGCTTTGAACAATCAGGACTTCATGGTAGAGGATGGCAAAATAAGTATCAATTTTTCGATCATCTTGGCTCTTTGAAATACAATTTTTAATAAGATTTGACTTTCAGTGTTGACCTTATTTAGATATCTGATACCGTAATTGAAGATCGTTTTGGTGTTGAACATGGAAGTGATGATTGGTATGAGGCCCTAGAACAACATTTCAAGTGGCTTCTTCAATATAGAATCAGCCCATATTTTTGCAGATGGGGTGGCAACATGCGTGTTTTGACATACACCTGCCCATGGCCAGGTAACTTGGTAGAGAAAAATGGAGACTAACATGTACTTATTCAAAATTTTGCAAATGCTAATAGCTATTATTTTTTTATTTTTTTTATGCTACAGCTGGTCATCCTAAATCAGATGCGTATTTTTCAGACCCAAGATTAGCAGCATATGCTGTACCATATAGTCAACCAGTTCCTGGGTATAGAATCAGTTGTCCTTGCTCGCTTCTGTCAGGTAGTTTACCGTACAAAACTAATGAGCTTTCATATACTTTTTGTGTAACAGTAATGATGCAGAAAAGGACTACTTGCAGAAAGAAATTGAGATCTTGAGGACAAAGGCTCATTGGAAGAAAGCCTATTTTTACTTGTGGGATGAGGTATCAACACTAATCCATTTGGGGTAGATTGTGTATATGCATCCCATGTAATTGGTAGTGCCCTTGATTCTACGTTCATTGTTTTATTCTCCTTTTCATTTCTCATAATTTGTTTACTTGAAAATTGAGAAAAAATGGACAAAAAAAAAAAAAAGTAATTTCAGACAGTGTTGTAGCATTTCATGATTGTAAGACTCACCGACACAGCAACTTGATATGATGTCTCTGTTCTCTCTTTTGCCTGTGTTCTGTACTCTCAATCTGGGAGGACAAATTAATAAAACTCGCCATCTCTACACTTCTCAGATGCAAAATAGTAAATGTATTCTCTTTCAATACAGCATCGTTGGTATTATCTTTCGACAATTTAAAAATTTTACCTTCTCAATTTGTATGATTCTATTTGATTTATAGCCAATTTCTTAAGGTTCATGTAACATGTCACATTGTTTATCCTTCATAACTAATGTGATTCCGATACTTCATGGCAGCCTTTGAATTTGGAACAATATGATATGGTCCGCAACATGGCCAGTGAGATCCATACTTATGCTCCTGATGCACGTGTGCTAACGACTTACTATTGCGGTACTTATTGCTCTCTCTGATATGTTATGATAATTAGTTTCTGTTCCAATTTCTTCTTGCTCAATCAATTGGGCTGAAACTATAGTGTAGCCCTTAACCCAGCGATTAGTTGATTGTGGTTACGTTTTCACACATTGCTTTCTTTTTATTAAGGACCAAGCGATGCACCACTCGGGCCTACTCCTTTTGAGGCTTTTGTGAAAGTTCCAAAGTTTCTGCGCCCTCATACTCAAATTTATTGTACAAGGTATCGCTGTTGATTGCTTCTTTACATGTCAGTTGCATATTTTTGTATGCATGCATACCCCTTATGTATGTTACTTTGCACACAGGCATACTTGTATATGCATGCATGCCATTTATGTATTTGTGTTGTCAGTTGGGTGCTTGTGATATTATATAATCAATGTGGCTTATATGCCCCCATCAACATGGCTCTATATTTAAGGAATGTTAGGCCTCCCCATTGCACTGTCTAAATCAAGTAAGTTGCATCAGATTCTGAATCATATGCGTATTCAGTTTTTTTGTGGATTTTTTTTTTCATAGGAGTTAGTGCATGTTTTTTCGATAGTAAGTGACCTTCTTTGCAGTCCATATGGATTCAAATCAGTTTATAAGTGGGATATTGTTTTTTGTGTCTAAGAACCTGATAATTTTGCCCCTTTTTTTTTGAGGGAACTCCAGTTAAGAGTGAGAGTGGGCCCTGGCAGAGGCCTAGCGGGGCAGGCCCATGGCCACCCTTGGGCCCAAGAAATTTACATAGCATTGCTAAGCATGACTGTGGGCCTAAGACTCTAGTATAGGCATTTCTATGTTTTACCGTATTCTTCTTCTAAACTGTGTGGCGTGTATTAATCCAAAAAAGTTTCATCCTTTCTTAAGTTATCACTAATTCAATGGTGCCACCAATTTAACTAGTTAGCTAATGAAACTAAAACAGGAGAATATACTTATAATTCTAATAAGTTCTGTAATTTAAAAAATGCCATCATTAATTTGGCTTGATCCTCTAAATTTCTCTTTGTTCTTTTTCCCAGCCTACTTTAATTTTTGTCGTCTCTTCTATTTCTTCCATTCATTTATTATTTTTTTATTTAATTAATTTTTTTTTCATATATACTCTTTTCATAGGCTACACATATAGAATAGATCAAGACAATTGGTATAATTAGTTATCACTTCATTTTTTTTTGTCCTTCATTCATTTTAGTTTTAAAAATGTATACATACATATCCATGTGTTTTATTTGATATTGTGTGTTATGTGATTAGTGTAAAGTTAGAATTGTTTATATGCACCTACATACATACTTACATACCTATATATTCTGGAAATATTACTATCAATATTTTTACTTCGCCCCCCTTGGCAAAAAGCTCAAGCTTCTCCACTAGATTGGGCCATCTTTTGACCTTTCTTGTTATGGTGCTAGAACTGAACTTGGGCGGGCCTTGTATGGCTGGCATTTACTACCAAATTTACTGCTTAGGTATTTCCTAGCTTAGTGATATTATCATTAACTGTGCCAAAGAAGAGAAGCTGGGCTTTCTTAAACTGCTTAGCGGACTTATCTGATATTTCTTGATTTGTTGATGAATGGACCTCTTATGCTGTGTGGCTAAGATTACAAGTTGAACTTCTTGTGTCACTACTTTATTGGTTGGTTATTATCAAATAAAATTTCATTAGCTGCATAAGGTTATTTAGGACATGCTAGTATTACTTTATATTGCTAAGTCCTTCAAGTGTACTTAAAGGATGCAATTTATTTATTATCAGAAAAAAAGGAGGAAGATGTGTAGTTTATTTATTAGTTTTCTCTGCAGTGAGTGGGTGCTTGGTAATCGAGAGGATCTGGCCAAGGAAATTGTCGCTGAATTGCAGCCCGAGAATGGTGAGGTAATATTTACCAATGCCTTTCAAAAAAAAAAAAAAAAAAAAAAAAAAAAAGCTACACTAAACATATCCTGGTCCTTATTCTGATCCTGTCACGAAGAATGATGATATCTGTATTTATATATCTCAAATACGGAGCTTTTGCTGTATAACATGTATAAATGTTTTATATCCAGCACTTGGGAGTTAAGGCTTTTTGTCTTGCCATGTGCTTCTGCATGTGTATGTGCTTTTTTCTTTTTGGCAATTCTAAATTTGCAACTATCCTAATTATAATGCATTTTCCCATTGTTCATCCTGTCATAAACCAATGTCTGGGATCAATTGATGTGTAGCGAACTGATTGTGTGAGCACCTTGATACAGTTGTTCTGTTGAGAACTAAACAACTTCATTAACATTCTTGTTTTCGTTATATTTTTTCAGTGACACAGCTCTTAATTGAATATTGTTCTTGTAGTATATTAGTTATTGAGCAATTGAATTGGACCCCAGCATGCTAAATCATCCTCATTTAGTTCAAAAAGCATGCATACCCATAGTTTTTTAATCAGCTCTGTAACTGCAGGCTAGCCAATGACACTTTTGTTCTTGCTGGCATATAAAGGGAAGTTGACAGGTTGTAGTGTTTCAGTTGGTTAATAGGACCGCTGGTTTGAAGTCTCTGCTAGTGTATAAAGAAACAAGTAGCTTCAATCTGATATTATGACTGATTCTAATCGGTAGTAGCATGCTATTCAGGACTGCTCAAGTTTTTTGGTCGCCGTTTTTATTCAGAAGCAAGCATGCTTGGCAATCAAATTTTAAAAATTCCTGGGGTCCTGATTTTTATTTTGATGTGTAGTTTGTAATTTTTATTTTACTGTTCTTTCTTGGAAGGTGACATGTTTTAGAACTTGGATGTTTAGTACTTGTTTTTAGTGCCATGTGTAGTTATTCTGAAGCGAAGTGAGCTTATTCCTTCTGTAGGAATGGTGGACATATGTGTGTTTGGGACCCTCTGACCCTCAACCCAATTGGCACATTGGGATGCGTGGCACTCAACACCGTGCTGTGTTGTGGCGTGTATGGAAAGAAGGTGGAATGGGGTTTTTGTACTGGGGTGCCAACTGCTATGAGAAGGCTACAGTTCCTAGTGCAGAGGTATTTTTATAGCTTCTCGATCATTCATAAAATAGAAAAACAGTTATAAATCCTTGCTTTCCTTTTCTTTTTCTGATAATGAAATATTTGCCTGTGAGCAGATAAGATTTAGGTGTGGCATGCTGCCGACAGTTATAAATCATTGCTTTTCTTTTCTTTTTCTCTGAAAATGAAATGTTTGCCTGTAAGCAGATAAGTTTCAGGCGTGGCCTACCTCCAGGTGATGGAGTTTTATACTATCCAGGCCAGGTGTTCTCATCTTCTCACCAGCCAGTTGCTTCTGTTAGACTAGAGCGCATACGTAGTGGCTTGCAGGTAAGAGAAATTTAAGTGGCCATTCATTTATTTAGGGTAAGGGCAGTGCACTGTTTGCTTCTATGTGAGTTTCTAACAAGATCACCACAATTTTTTTTTTCCAAATTCAAAATGTTTTTGTTGAAAGTGATCTCGTTTCATGGTAGGATCAATATATTTTACTTGTTACCGGAATATTTTGGTCCTGTGTACATTTTGACTTTGACTTGAATACATTTTCATGTATTTGTCATGCAATATTGTCAGACTTGTATCTTGTTTTTCCATTACAGACATTGTCAGACTTGTATCTTGTTTATCAACTACAGAAATTTTTTTTTTCTTTTGGTTCATTTAGGACCATTCAAATATCCTCCATGCTAAAGTCAGAATCTCATACTTGTGCCATGGCTGTAGTAATTGAAAAATATTGATGCTTGACACACCCCCTCCGTCCCTTCCTCACTCACACACGCACACATGAAGGCACATGCACACATGTTCAAGAAAGCTAAAAGTTGTGCATGGATGGTGCTGGGTTTGTTTCTAATATCATGTTTTGATGATTTTTTTCACCATGTGTTATTCTACCAGGACTTTGAGTACCTGCAGCTCTATACTTCAAGATATGGAAGGGATGAAGGGTTAGCTCTACTGGAAAAGACGGGCATGTATCTAGGTCCTGAGCGTTATACGCTAGAGCACATGCCAATTGATGTCTTGCGGGGTGAGATCTTCAACACGTGCCGGTCATGAATGGATGGTTGTGTTCCCATTGAGTTTATCGTTTTGTAATTATCCATAGAAACTTTTTGAGAAGATGAAATAGTTTCTGCAACTGCACGAACTGTTTCTACTTTCGACACGTAGTTAGGCTCACATCCATGCAATGCTTTACTGGTGGGGCTGAGGCAAAAGTAATCCTGGATGAGATTATGATGGTATATTCGAAGAACCATTGCATCTTATTGCTCTAGGATTCTCCTGGCATGACCTTAGCTTATCAGCACCTGGCATTGCCTTTCCATATGACCCGGAGTCATATTCCCTTGGAATTGCCTCTTGTTGTATAGTGCTTCCCCCCCCCCCCCTGCTTGAAACTATATAATTGAAACCATTAGCAGTATTTGCTATGCGTAGTTGCATCCATATAAATGTTGCATGAACGTCACTATTGGTTTGTTCATAATGTACGTTACCTTTAATTTGTTTCAATTTTTTTTTCTTTTAACGATATATGTATTTATAGTGAGAGAAGACAATGCCTATGACATGATGTTTGATCTTCGATGTGTTTAAGCTTTAGGCACCAAGCTTTTTATACCACTGTTGAGGTTCCTTTGGGTTTTGGAGACGAGGATTAAAAGGAAATTTCAGATGTGCCCGATTAAGAGCTGATAAATTAGTTTTATGTTGCTTATTTACTATCCAGTTCAGATTTTAATAATTCCTTGTGCATTATACTTGATTAACCTGTCGAGATGAAATTTGATACAAGCGAAGAAAAAATTGACTCAATCCCATATAAACAAACTAAGAAGGTGCGCCTGTAATAGGGATGTCAATGCATTGGGTATAAAAAGAGTATATGTTCTATTTCATTCAATAAATATTCATTAAAAGTATCTAATCGATATTGTGTTGATAGGGATTTCAGATTGTGTTTTCACTTTATACCTTGTTAATATCTACTATATTTTTTTTATTTTTTTTTTCAAACTTAAACAAAGCTCAAATATATTGCATGACCTAGACCATTTCATAACTAAAAATCCAAAACCGTATACCGAATCAAATCAATCGATCAATATCTAGTATCTACCAAACACTCTTTAAAAAAAAAAAAACGGGTGAAACCTTGATAAATTTTATTAATAAAAAAGAAAGCATACAAAGGAGGACAATCCAGCCTTATTCAAAACAAACTAGAAGGACAAAAAAGCTTAAACCCTTAAGAACAAACTCGTGTTACAAGAGGAAATAAAAATTACCTTAACATTGACAATTATAGAAACCATATCTATTATGTTTAAGAGACAATTTAACCTCGAAAGGTAAATTAGAAAAAAATAAATAAACATTTTTACTTTAAAGAGAATGTGTATAATAAACTAACTTATCCGTTACAATATTTTGCTCTCGATACACATGGGAAATGGAATGTCCTAGAATTAAAGGGGAATGTCTCACATGATAAGTATAAAATCCAAGGCAAGGAGGATATACCTAAAATAGCTTAGACCACTTCCTTCAAATCAGCCTCCACAAAAGCATTATTGATAAAAAGTTCTTGATAGAGTAGAAGACATCACACAAAGCTAGAAGTTTTGCACTTGTATTTGTACTCGTACCATAATTATTTGCAAATGTTGTCATTATTTGCTCTCATGAGTTATGAATAATACCACCACTAGTGTAGCAACCATCTATAGAAGATCCATCTATATTAAGCTTATAACGATCATCTAAGGGTGGCAAGTCATCGAAGCCATTTGCCTCCGTCAAAAGGCACCGATAGAAATGACAAGCCTATAGCTTGAAGTCTCGCACCGAAGAAACACTAGACAAAGATTTAGGATTAAAAAATCATGCTCATATAAAAAAGATGATGGCATATCTGATCGAAAATGGCATCGGTAGACATGGAAATCTCTTCGAATCTTGCCTTGCACCTATATTTTCATATCTCCCAAAAGGAAAATAAAAGGATAGCTACTCGACGCATACCTACTTGTGTCGAGGTGGAGGCCATTCAAGCATGAAGGAGGTCGGAAGAAGATGCATATATACTCCTTATACTTAAATAAGGCGCTACTCTAGCCAAACTCGTAGAGCTAACTTTTTGACTACAAAAATAAATGATCAATTGACTACTCTTTAGACAACACATAACAATTACATATGGAGACCATAAAAATGGTCAAATACTTCTAGAATCAACCGAAAGAGCCCCATGAAACCACTTTCAAATGAAACCCCTTACTTTAGGAGGAATGCAAGAATGCCAAACCGATTTAGCCTACCAAACACGTGGAAGATGTTGTCTACAATGATTCCAATAGGTTTTGGATTCAAAACAACTCGTCTTAGACAAGTTGAAAACAATCTTATCCTCCAAACCTTATTCCAATTGAATAACCTTTACATAGTCATGATATTGAGAGGGAATGAAAGGGAGGAAGTTGTCTAAACATGTAAATAGCCTCTTTTATCGACATATTATAGTTTAACGGTAGAGGAGGATTCAAAACTATTCCACACCAATTAGACCTCTAAAAAGGAATTGAACCTTTACCTACAATCCAAGAAGTACAACCTTCCAAGACAAGTAAAGTGGTTAAAAATATCCTTCCAAAAGTAAGAGGAATAAGCATAATACTAGGGAGTAGGACCATATTTAGCTTTCGTGATCTTAGCCTATAAGCTATGACCTTGAAGAAATGATCAAGCCGCTTAGCTCGTAGAGCTTCCATAACTTGGGACAAGTTACGAATACCCAAATCATCCTCCGAGAAAGGCCGACACACCTTATCTCATAATACTCAATGGTGTTTAGACTCTTCTATCGAGCTCCATAAAAAATTGGTCATAACTCGTTCAAGTATGTGGATAGTCATTTTCAACAAAGAGATAGCGAGAAATAGTGTGGATAGGAATACTACTTAACACTACTTTCAAAAGAGTAATTTGTACTCCAAAAGAAAGGTATTTAGATTTCCACCCTCCTATCCTATTTTTCAAGAACTTTTCTATATACTCGGAAATATCTACATTTTATCCGGCCATGAAACAAAGGCATTCCAAGGTATTTAGTGGAGAAACTCAAATGGTTACACCTAGTTCATGTCTTGAGTAAAACATAATGACTATTAGGCATTTTCTTCGGGGTATAAAACCCACACTTTTTGTCTATTTCCATTAACAATAGATGACCAATCTCTTTCTCGGAGACCTAAATTTAGCGCTTTCAAAATTAATAATGTAAGAACCCATTATTTCAAAGGTTTTTGTTAATATCGGTTTCTCTATTATAAAAAAATATACATATATAGATTTTTTTAAAAAAAATTGATACTATTAATTTTATTTTATTTTTGTCAAGCCGATATACATTAGTGATTAGTTGTTATTGTTAAAAGGAAGAAGCGAGACTTAATACCCGCCATGAACAGAGGATTAATCTAGCCATAACATCAAAGACGATGGCCTTACTTTGTCCATCTCTTGCTTGGGATGTTAACAATTTCAATTCCTAATATTTGTTAAGACTTGATCCCATGATCTCTTAATAAATATCAAGGTGCACTACTAATAATTTAGATGCTTGTTAGTTAATTAATGCTATTAATTTAGTGGTAGTTAAAAGCAAGTCAATGTTATGAAAAATCTTCAATACATTACTGCTAAGTTGTAATTGAATTGTTTGCTCATACATTTATAACTTGGATTCGATTCTCTTAGTTTTATCGGTATGAAAAAAATCCCTCTTTTATTTATTTATTTATTTAAGTTCATCCTTGTACATTTTATTTCTATCTTAATTTCATCCTTTTGTTAACTCTTGAACTAATAGCGTTAATTTTTTTTTTTTGGTCTTAATCTCATTCCTCTACTTTTTTCTCATCTTAATCCTTTTTTATTTATTTATCAAATTTAATAAATGAATTTGAGAAAATAGAAAAAAAGGTGAAGATATATACGATCATTCTTTTTAAAAACTAAAAATAAAAAGAAAACTAAAAAAATGAAGCTAAAAATATTTTTTTTATCCAAAATATTCTTTATGGGTTTAAATTTATCTCTATGATAGTAAACAAATTTTAAGCATAAAATGAAATATTTATAGTGTTTTTTTTTTTTTTAATGTGAAGAGAGTTTTACTTAAATTTTAAACTTTTGAATGGTATTTATAATTTTATAATACCTCAAAAGAGTCTATTATAATTTACTTATTTTGATTTTATAAATTTCATAATTTTAAAAATTTAACTAAAACTCTCTTCACATTAATATATATATATATATATATTCAAAATTTACTTACAATCATACATACACATTTAAAAAAAATATATATAATAAAATATTTTATTTTATATTCAAAACTTTTTTTTATTTATGATACGGACATATTTAAGCCCATAAAAGATATTTGGATAAAAAAAATTTTTTCTTCACCATTTTTATAGTTTTTTTATTTTAATATCTAGACAGAATGACCAAGTATATCTTCACTTATTTCAATTTTTTTCCAAATTTTATTTATTTAAATTTCATAAAAAAATAAGATCAAGATGGAAAAATAGAATAGAAGGACGAGGTTAAGATAAAAAAATTAACACTAATAGTTCAAAAGTTAACGAGGGACTAGATCAAGACAAAAATCAAACATGCATGAGCTTAAGACCGAAAAAAAAAAAGATGGACAAAATAAAGACAAAAAGAAGATTAGAAGGACTTTTGTAATTATTAATCTAATTATTTTTAATGAGGCTAATGGTCTTATGTGCCCTTATATAATTACTTAAAATTTTAATCTATTTAAATATTTTAAAACAATTCTATTATGTTTATGCTATTTTAATTGGTTTTTAATTTATCATTCTGGTTAATTTTTCAATCAAATCATAAAAAAATTAACGATATAATATTTTTTAAACGAAAATATTTTTTAAAAATAGACTCATAGAGCAACATGACTTGTACATGAATGACATTTTTATCAAAAAAAATATATCATATGCAAGTCATTTGCTTAATTTTCGATGATTTGATTGGAAAATTTAACAAAAAAAATAAATTAAAAACTATCTAAAATAGCAAAAAATAATAAGATAATTTTGGGATATAAGAATATATTAGAACCTTAGTACCATTATATAAGAACACGTAAGGTTACCTATGAAGTAAAATAAACTTCATATGTCATGCCGAAAGTTACCTATGAAGTAAAATAAACTTCTTCAGAGTAACGTTGTCAAAGGTTCCTGTTGAAGTAAAATAATTTCTGATAAAATTGCCTGTCTCTCTTCCCCTCTCTCTCTTTCTGGAAAACAGAAACAAAAACAGAAGGAAGTTTCTCTATAAGGTAAATTTCAAAACTCGAATCCCTAATCCATTTCTTTTTTCCGTTGAATCAAATTCCAATTCAAATCCCTCTCTCTATATATTGATTGAAACTCTGTTCTCTTTACTTCTTCATTTGTGTATTTAAACACTGTTTGGTTCCGCGATAATCTTTGATAACGGATGGAAGTTTGGGTTTTTTTAAGTCGCATGCGTTTTCTCAGCAACCGAACAGAAAATTATGCTATGTTTCTTGGTTTCAATGAGGGAATTGATAATGAATGTGAAAGTGTTTGGT